ACATTTAGAAATCCATGAACGAGAAATCCATCTCAAATCTTGACGTTGACTGGTTCGAAGACCATTTTACGTACTGGAACAGGCTGCCGATGGAACTAAAACTCAAAGTCGTCCGGAATCTCCCGTATCCAACACTAAGGAACTTTATGTTCCTGAGCAAGGAGTGCATGAAAGTTTCGTCATTGCTAAGAGCTTCGGTTTATGAAGTCGCCCTTGTGGAAGAACCGTACATGCGCCGTAATCGTCTTGTGGAAGAAGCGTACGTGCGCCATAACCGATCGAGTGTGAGGAATGGAGCCCAAAACATGTATACATTGTTCACTTATGGTTAGGTTGTCTACATGTCTCGCACGGTCTGATACACTGATTGAAGGCTGGCTCTGGTTCAATATGTGTAATGTAGAGTGAATCATCAACCGCTCTTTACTGCATTGCAGTCACCTCAGAAACAACGGGGAGCTCAAGACAAACGATTACCTAAAACAGATCCACATGTGTTTGTTTACGTCAAGCGTCGAAAATGGTATCTTCAGCAATTTTGAAGCCATATTGATTAGAAGCTAAAAGCTCCGCAACACTAGGCCTGCAAGAGGATTCGTACCTAACTGTTCAGCGATATTTCCAGTGGGTAAAGGACATTAGGTCGCTGAAAGAGGCGGCAGTACGACATTTGCAACATAGCGCGCGTCTTCACCACTACTTGCTACCTGTTCGCATGGGTGGAGCCTAATGGCGACCTAAAGTTCGCAAGCCCTTCCTGTCATTGTCTGAGATAGGAGAAAATCAAGCAAATTGACATTTTTCTGATTTTCCAACCTAGAAGAACATTGATGGGGTTTTTATAGGAGGTGATTCAGACATACAGCTTTATAGATGTTTTGTGGACTGCCAAAGTTTTGAGCACTACTGGGATAATGTAGCGTCAGTGACAGAAATTCAATCTGTTACATTTATTGGAGCAAAACTCAGCTTTTAATTTCTCTTCGATTGCACAATATTCGCAGATTTCATATCATGGTTTTACCTTTGCAATGGGCGTTCGATAATCCGCTTCATTTTCCTCTAACGAGGAGGATACTTGATCAAGTGGCTTTCCGTATTAATTGTATAACATCTTATAGAGCACTAGCTGGCATACCCGGCTCCGCCCG